ATAAACTTCGTGGAGAGTTCGCAAGGAAGAGATGGGATACCAATAACATCTACAATCTAACGTATGACTATGGCAGTATTATGCACTATGGAGCCACAGCGTAAGCTCTTCAAAACTGATAAAGCCGAGGTTTTCATATTTATATATTTATGTTTGTATAGCTTTGTTAAAAAAGAAACGCCACCGGAAAATATTCCATGATACCCAAGGATATTCTGTACTTGGAAACTCTAGGATCTGACATTATTTCGTTCTACGACCTGCTAATGATGAATATGTACTACAACTGCACTGGTACGCGATAATCTCACTGGCGTTAACGTCAATAATGGCTCAAAGAGTATTCCAGACGCATGCAAAAACACAACGCTGTGTTACAATGGGGGATTCCCTCATCCACGTGACTGCTCCAAATGCATCTGCCCTAGCGGATATGGTGGAGATTTCTGTGATGAAAGAGTGAAATTATTCTGCAGCAGAAATTTGCAAATTCATTTTCAAAAACCGTTTCAGCCATCAGGTTGCGGCCAAGAGCTCAATGCGACCACGGAGTGGAGCGTGCTTGAAGACAACCTAAATATCAGCGATGTCAGTCCAGACGGTATGGCGAGATGCGCCTACTGGATCAAGGTCAGTAACGTCAATGATAAACCCAAGTCGAAAGGCACAAATATATTTGGATGGATTTACACTGTATTATAAGGCGCCACGCGGTAAAAGAATCGAAGTGAAAGTTTTGGAGCTAGCTGTTGATTCCGACTATGGGTGTACATTTGGTGGCGTTGAAATCAAAACGCATCCGGACCAACGTCTCACCGGTTACAGGTATGAACTCCGACATACATATAAGCAATTGAATGCAAAACACACTCAAAAAATTTTTGCAGGTTCTGTTCAATGAATGCCATCAATGTCACGCTAGTATCGAATTCGAGTGTAGTTCCTGTAATAACATACATAAACATGGATCAGAATAATCTAGACGATTATTTCAACGAACTGAGTGGAGTCGAAGTAGAAGTTGAAGAGGAAGAGGTCGACGATGACGAAGAGGAAAATGACGACGAAGAAGTGGGAGAGAAAGACGACTCAGAAGAGCAAGAGCAGCTCCCTAGAGGCGTGAAACTAGGGTACCGCTACTTTTAGTGGAAAAGCTTTCCGCAAATAAATTCTACGATTTATTAGATTTCAGCAGAAGCATCGTATAGGAGGCGACAGGAGATTAAACTTCCTCTGCCCGAAGGAGCAAACGTTTAGTGAAAAATTCGGATTGATTTAGGATAGTCTTTTGCACAAAATAACATTGTTAATAGAGCGCTTCCCGCCACTAAAGCGTCCCGTATAATCTACCTGAACTTCCTGTCCTAACCACTATCCAGCGTTCTCTTTCACGAACATAAGTTTTTATCGCGAGTTTTGCCTTAAAACTTCACGCGTCTCTTCATTTGTTCTGAAGCCCTTTTGCAAACAATTTCTCCGAGAATCCCGAGCTCATTAACATTTTGTGCCACCAGGCAACTATAATAAATCACGCACCTTATCGGCCCTTATCAGTTTCAATTCCTTTCAGTCACCCATCAACAATGTCCCCGTCCCACCCCTTATAACATTTGTAGGTAGTGACGCTCTAGTTTCGGCGCAAGCTGAGTAACGGAAATCGACGACTTTTGCGTTCTGACGCGCCTTATCAGCCCTTATCAGTTGTAACCACTTTCTATCACCCATCAACAATGTCCCCGTCCCACCCCTTATAACACTTGTAAGTAGGGACGCTCTAGTGTCAGCGCAAGCTGAGTAACGGAAACGACGACTTTTGCGTTCTGACGCCCCTTATCAGCCCTTATCAGTTTAATTCCTTTCAATCACCCATCAACAATGTTCCCGTCCCACCCCTTATAACACTTTGTACAGTTTGACGCTCTAGTACCAATATAAACGACAAAAACGAAATTGGCGATGCTCGCTTTCTAGCCCTCTTATCAGCTATTATCAGTCGTTATCAGTTCCTATCATGCTACCACTTGTGTTCCCATCCCCCCTATAACATATGTAAAACAATGGGCGTATGCTGTTGACTCGAGCTACGAATTTCGTGACAACAACACACACACACCTACCACACAGACATACTTAGCGAATTATATATAGTAGGATGTAAATAATCCTTCTATTAAGATATTAAAGCGCTAACTTTGTGTGTCGGTTTGTATGTCTGTATGTGTTGTGTGTATGTATGTATGTATGTTATGTATGTATGTATGTATGTATGTATGTATTGTATGTATGATTATGTATGTATGTATGTATGTGTGTCCGTCCGCAAAATGAAGTGAGTGAGAAGGAAACTCATGGGATAAACAAACCGCTAGCAGAATCGGGTAGCTCGACTTGCTCTAGCAATGTTTTGCAATGGCATGATTGTGATAGCATTCCAACGGCTATATAAACACGCACTTAGCACACTCTTGGTCATTCCACAAGGTATGCTGTGGTAGCCGGCGAGCAGAGGGGAGAGTAAGGAGAGGAGGGAGAAGGGAAAGCTTACGCAAGGTAGGGAGGTTCCGGCGCTTGCCGGGGGGCCAATCTGGTCCAGTAATAATGCTCCACTGATTTTCCTGCGACCTTATCTTTATAATCTGCGAACACAGATTGGTGCAAACATTGTGACCTCTACATACCCGAACCTGATTAAGATTGCCTCTTGATCGCTTTGCACCCGAGTTTTAGGCAGCCTCAACTTGGTGCGAAAAAAAGAGCCGTGCCTGAATCCCTCCAGTCAACAAAAGCACAACGCAATGTGCGGGAGCGTTCCAGCACAAATGTAACGGAATAGAGTGCGCCGAACCTTCCGCGGCGACATACAATGGTATGATCGCCTTGGCAATTTCTTACTCCAACTGCAAAGAGGTCGTTGAAGTATTCATGATCCGTGTAGATAAAGGATCCGCCGTTATCTGGTACAGGGTCAACCGTCCGGTCGAACTATTCGAACGAAGGGGTCGCATTTTGGTCGGAAGGGGGTCGCAATTTCGAGGACTGTCAGCCACAGGCGCGTGCGGGCAAGAATTGTTTGTGCTTTAGATCCGATTTATTATTCACAGAGAAACAGTTTCAGGCAAATTACAGTGTTTTTTCCTTAAGGAGTAAAGGACAGTTGAATGCATCCCTATGAAAGGTTTGACTTCTCGGGACTGACGCTGAAATTAAAGTTCTTCGAGGCCTAATTTTCTTAGGACGATTCTTCCAGACAACGGAGAAACACATGAGAAAGCAGAAATCTCGTGGTCTTCAAAAATGTCTTCGCCCCTCCACAAATAGCTTTTTGAAGGGAGTTGTTATTACTGAAAACTCAAAAACTCGCATGTGCTGATCAAAAACTTATGGGTACAAAATGTTCGAACGTGTGATTTTCTCAATGAAAAATGAACTTTGAAAAAGGGGTTGGGGCTTTTTTGAAAGAGGAAATCCTGTACTTTCACCACATGAAAAAAGTGCATCACAGAAATGAAAATGAAGTGAGTAATGGTCGCTGAAAGCCCAAAAACTCGCTTTTGCACGAAAAATGTTCGAACGGGACAATTTTTTGAAAAAGGGGACAATCACTAAACTTTTTATACTATTTTGTTAGAGAAGTATGAGAAGTTTCTGAAACTTTTTATAAGTTTCCAAAATGTCGCATACGAAAGATTTTATGGGCCTTCAAATTTGAAGGTGCACCTTCTTAGAATTTTGGGTTTTCCATTTCTAACAGAAGTACTTCCCGGAGAGTTAGGCAATCCTTGTAGTTTTCTGGAAGCGCACCTCAGGCACAATCAAAATCTACCTCAACAAGTCAAAAGAGTGCGTCCCAAAAAAGTTATTCTCCTTTAAAGTTTTTTCTTCGCCGCGTCCCGTCCAGCTCCCGGGTGATACCTGCAGCGCTCCAAGGCCGACGCGACGACGCGCAGACGCTTTCTGGCGCAACGGATTCATGTCTAGCACTCTTATTAACAAAAACAGAGGTCGGAACTGGACCTCCTCGAGAGCTAGGGGGTCGCGAAAATCCCGAAAAAGTTCGAACGTGACGGTTGACCCTGATCTGGTATCAGCATGCCAAAGGAATACGACCAGTTTCTCATCGGAGGGTATGTTTCATTCCGTTTCACAACTGTGTACTAACTGGTAGGCGTAACAAGCTTCTCAAATTCATCACTTAAAAGCAGTTTATGTCTATAGTCAAAAATGTGTTCCCTGTCTGTTTCCTTCTGCTTAACCAAACTCAGACACACTGAAACTTTATTGGTAACAACACACAACAATGCAAATGAGAAATGGCAGGAGTTGTAGGAGCGGAGAGGTTGTAGGAGCGGGGAGTAAGGAGAAACAAATCTGGAAACTAAAGATTTGGTGGCCTTTAAATACCCTCTATCATCGCCACGTCAGTTAGGCGTGGCCTAACAAAATTCATCAATGTCTAACAGGTTGACAACCAGTGCAAACGCGTTGACCTGTAAGCCGTCAACATGCCGGGGGGCAACAAAAAATCTATGGTTCCACTCCATAGTTCACTTATGACCCGAACTTACAACTCCTGCATTTTGTGGGTTACGGCCCTAAGTTTATCTCTCATTCTACAGAGCGCTCTTTTTCTATGCTTTCGATTACCCACCCCCTGAGGTCCTTTAGAGCTTTCCTCTACAGGTGCCGGCAGTCCAGGCTCCTTTCGTTTGTGCGCGCGAAACGGTGCCAAACGAAGCTCTTCCAGAGTCAACAGGGGTTCCAGTTGCGACCGCAGGAATTGGTGAAATGTGCGAGTGGATTCTTCCTGCCACTCCGTGGCATTTTTCAGTACTCCGACAGCCGCCCAAGCCGCACGCGGGTCCATAACTCCAATATTCTGCTGAAGAACGTCCACGATAAGTTGCGCATGCTCCGGCTGCTCTGATACGTAACTGAGAATGTGGGCTCGCATTTTCATGGTAACGTGCTCCCAACTCACTATGTTTACGGTCCTCGGACCATTCACAAGGTAGACATGCGTGCCACATGTAGTCCACAGATTAATAGCTGACATGATCGCAAGCCAGCTCGTGACCTTGCGCGGTTCTTCGGGCGGCAGGATCAGCACGACTGCCCCTAGATCGTCCGTGAACAAACTATCCATCTTCGTTTTGATGGCCGCAAAATCGCCATAAAAGAATACACGCGTGCGACAACCACCGGACATCCACGCCATCCTCCTGAGTACCATGGGCACGACGATTAGAATACGATTGTGTATTCTGTCCATCATTGAATTCAAATCGAAATCATTCTTATCCAGCTTTCTCGCCACTAACCAACCCAACTCAAAAATCCTTTGCGGCACCGTTGGCCATCCCCTCGACAAGGATCCGTGTCTCATAATGGTGGCTGGTTCGATGGCTCTCGCCATTGTGCTAACATGGGCGCATTTTTTTCGAAAGACCGCATATGCAAAACCAAGTGAGCGCGGGTCAACGACTCTATCATCCAAATTCATTATTCGCTGGGTATTCAGCGCCACCGATCCTGTTTGCATCCAAATGGCGAACACTCGAGCCGCCTCCAACACGCATTCAATGGGCAAAGCCCTGGCAGGGTGAGGTAACACTGCGATCAAATCGGCCGCTGTCATGGTCTTAGATACGCAGCAGTTTGCCAGCGCAAAACTGGGCCCTCCTTTGAACGCCGGAAAGTCTTGTACACGGCATCTGACTGCGTGAACATGTGACTCTCGTCCGGAACATCGAACTCGAGTTCCTTCCTGAAATGAGCAGATTGAGGCCTAGCTTTGCAGTAATTTTTAAGGACTCTCGCCACTCTCTTTCTTTTAGTTTTAACTCTCACTTGCTTCATCGAAATCTCATTCTGGGCATTTTAGGAGTAAGTCATATTTGGACCTTAATAGGCGTCCTCTATTACTTCCTATTTTAGTAATCAATGCCGATGTTTTCGCCAGCCTGCAACACACGATATAGGCCCATCCAGTCCACAGTCAGTTTGGGATGTTTACCTCGCGCCTTTTCTCGTGGCGCAGTTCATGAAACACTTTCCTCCCACCTTTGGGGAGTGAGAAGGACGTCCATCGTCCTCTGCGACTGTCATAAAATTCCTTCATTTTAGCCCTGTTATTTTTCATTCATTGTTGTTACCTCCGTCTCTATAATTGCAGTTCCGCTTAGTAGTTTCGTACGATAATCATCGACGAAAATCTGTTATACTTAGAGACATCAGCATTTGGAAATGGTACATGAGGAATGACAGGATCAACTTCCATGCAGTAGAAAGAAGGGCTTTTCTCCTGTAGCTTCACTGCGGGAGTGATGTTGTATGCATAACCACATGAGTAGTCATCACATCCATTTGTCGGGTAGTTCCAACTTCTTCTTCGAGCATCCGCTGTTATGGTTCCAATTGGCACGTTCACTGACACCGTTCTCCCTGGAGTTACTAGCCTTTGGTGATTGAATGTTTGATGCCGGCCACGGTTGTTAGTTCCTCTAACAAAGAATTCTAGGAACTCAGTGCCTCGATCGGGTGTGGATTGCTTGGGCCATCGCCCTCGCTTCGCAAGTCCAACGATGGAACAAGTAGTTGCGACTGTAGCGCGCTCTTATCAGCAGTCGCATATGCGCCAATGCCATTAGAAAAATGATCTACAATCACCAGAACATATTTCATTCCACAGACTGTATCCATCTCCAGGTATCAGCTGCGACTATTGTCGATGGCCTTGCCTGTCACAAAAGGTTTCAGAGCCTATCCATCGTCTGTGAGGTTTGGTAAGTAGACAGCTTGCTACAATTTTTCAACCCAGCGGTAAAATGGTCGGGATCATGCCGTCCATGAATACCAGCTTCCGCTAATTTTCTACTCAACTTTCTTTGTGCAGAGTGATGTCCCTTCTAGAGAGCCGCTGATGATTTCATCGAGAATTTCCGCTTCCTTCGTTCTTTTGGAACAACGGAAACCGCTGCTCATTTTCCAGAAGAAATTTTCAACTGAACCGTCGTCTACTTGAAACAATCTGCGACTTGATTTTTTACTGTTAGAAGGTGGGAATTTCACCTCTTTGTCGAGCGTTTCCCTTCTCTAATGCGTGCAACTATTGGTCCATAGTCGACGTCACTGCGTAGCTCATCTAGCCCATTGGGATCGGTTCTTGTGTTTCGACAGCTCACACTATGTTTCCTACAGCAAAATGTATCCATGTACATCTGTGCATTTACAGCGGATACCTCTTGATAGTTGCTCCGCCACGGGGTTGTTTTCCCTTTACAGGTTTCAAGTGGACAAACTGATATTGTTGAACCTCCAAGGCCCATCTAAGGCAGTGCGCGGGGGGATATATTGCGCTGGGTCTTCGAAAATATGGGCATGTGTTAATGCGTGTCGTATCGAGTTCTTAGCGATCACTTTCATACCGGTAGATGAAGAAATGGAATTTCTCAGTGCGCAAAACTAACCGCGAGCGCCTCTAAATCTGTTACGTGATAGTTCCGCTCTGCCTTAGATAACCCCTTGAAGCAAAGTATATTGGGTGGAGAAATTCATCATCCCCGTGGGCAAAGCACAGCTCCTACGCCCATATGGGATGCGTCGTGTGATATATCACGTAAGGGTTCGTTCCTGATTGTGCTCCTTCACATCCCGGTTTGCAAATACCGGAGTAGTTTGACAACACCTCCTTGAGCTTAGCAAAGCCTCCTCTTGAGTTACATTCCACTTCCATGGTATTTTCGTCCTTTCAACTCGAATAAGGGACCGGCTATTTTTAGAAAAAGTTGAGAAACAAAATTTCCGGTAGTAGCTGCACATACCGAGAAATGTTACGAAGTTCTGCTATATTCGTGGGTTTCGGGAATTCTTTTATCTTCACGACCTTATTCAGGGGTCTACATGCACTCTTCGGCGTCAATTCTGTGGCCTAAGAATGCAACACACTGTTGAAGAAGTACGCATTTTTTGCGGCTTCAAGCGCAAGTTTGCCTTCAGCAGTGCGTCTATAACCATCTGTAATACTTCGTAGTGCCTACTTTCCGATACAGTGGCAATAAGGCATGTCGTCGATATAAAACGAAGACTCCTTATTCTTCAAGTCACGCAGTACCGTATCCATCAGACGCTGGAAAACCGCAGATGTGATGTAGTTTATGTGAACTGTAAGAGACCTCTGAAGTTGTAAAGGCACTTTTCTTTCGCTGCAGCAGTCAATGGTATTTGCCAATATCCCGAGGCCATAATCTAGCGTCGAGAAATACCGTTTGCCCTGAAGGCTCTGCCAGCATGGCGTCGATTCCGGTAGTGGTAGGCATCGTGCTTGGCATTTGTTTAGTTGACATAGTCTATGCATAACGGATAGTACGTCTTTTTTCCGTACAAGCACTACTGGTGACGCCACTCGGATGTGATGTTCTATGATTCCTCTTTTGTAGAGACTCTCAGAATATCCTTAAACTCATCACGGGCACGATAGGAACAGGTCGGCGTTTCTGTCGGATTGGTTTGGTGTCACCCGGTTAATATCGTGAGTCACTAAAGAGGTCTGTGTCAACTCGCTTCCTCTTACAAGCAAAAACCTGATTGCTATCCCTTACAATCTTTTGCATCTGAGGTGATAGCCATGCTTCCATTCTGATTCTTGATCCAAAAGACTCGTAAGTAGGTATCTGAGACTTTTTTTCTCTGCGGACATGGGTTTGCCTTGGCTGCATAGTAGGTCTGTTGGGGTATCTCTGAAGCGGAGATCATCCCAGTAAACATTTTCCCATTTACCTACTTCTTGGCCCTTTCTCATTACTATGGGTTCACTAGTTACGTTGACGACCGCTACTTTTGCCACTCCGATATTTACTTTGCACAGACTGTTTGGAACTCTTTTGTCACTCGAATTCAACATTGCTTCCGTGCATTTTTCTTCACACTTGAGGTCCACATATTCAGTCTGTCCAGGAGCTATGAAGACTCTTCGAGCAACGGTGGCAGCGGAACTATTTTCCACTTCTTTTTGCTGTTGCTCCACCTCTTTGTCTTCCTCCTTATGTCCAATTTTTCTGACCTCGTATCCTATCTGCGGGATTGCATTTGTTCCCAAAATGATGAGCTTTTCCTTTGTTTTGGAGACTAACATCCGAACTCGGTTTAACTTGTTATCACTTCTGTTTACGACATCAACCTCCACTGCAGTTAGGAACTTCATCGCTTTCCCTGAAGCGTCTGTGATCTTCAGCGATTTAGGAAGCGCAATTTCCTTAACTACGGCATCGATGTCAATTCCATCGTCCATTGCTTCTTGGAGAACGATCGACGGCAAGATCGATATTTGTGACCCCGTATCAAGTAGAGCTTTTCTATCTTTCCCAAGGATGGTCACCTCGATAGTTGATCGTTTGCCAAAAATATGCGGAGATCGGTTTCGAATATGTCCGTGTTTACTGTGGACCTTGGTGCACTTTACTCCACGAACTCGTGCCGATAACGACACTGGACGACTTACTTCACTAGTGGCCGTGGTCTTGCATTCACGCGCCTTATGACCTGTACTTTTGCACTTGAAACATTTTAAGCGTTCCTTATTTCCTTTACGGTCTTCGTTGTCTTCCAGCTCAACGCTGCTCTTCGCCTTGATCTGCGATACATCGTTTTCTTTGAAATAGTTCCTTCGAACATTTCTTTGTCCTCTGCTTGTGACCCCTGTAGTTTGCGAGAACTCAGTACTTTTGCGATTCTTCAAGGACAGGTGTCTCCACTCTGCCCTCATCGCAGCGTCTTTCAACCGCTCGTACATATCGCTACCGGGTCCCTCCAAGGCCTCTTGTAGGTGGCAGGACTCATCCCAATGAGAAATTTGATCATAGAGGTGGTCCGCACGTATTATTGACAATGTGTCTTCTCCTAGCTCGGGATATGCTCGGCGCGTCAGTCTTTCTAGTTCAACACAGAAATCCCCGACTGACTGTGTCTCTGGTTTCCGCAGGCGTTTTAGTTCACCTAACGCAACCACTTTTTTATTGCGCGATTCCTCCCTACACACCTCTTTCATCGCATTCACTAATGTGTAGAAGTTACGCTTCTTTGCTTTAGCTAGCGCCTCAAATTGCGCCCTTGCTTTACCCGCTAACTTTGATCTGAATAACGCACAGCGCTCTTTGTCTTCCCAGTATTGACCAGGGTACTTCAACTCGAACGCTTCTACAAAGTGTTCAAACGGGTACTCTTTATCTTTTCCCGAGTATGGCACAACACCCGGCAATGCTATAAACTTTAGGTATTCTCCCATTACATTCTGGGCTCCCACCCGATGTTTTCTATGTGGCACTCGTTTTTTACTCTCATACATACGTTCTTCATTTGAGCTCAAAGTAGAGTCATAAAACGTACTGAGACTCGTGCAGCTCCTCCTCGACGAACTGCTGCACATCCCGCGACGACAGGCCTTCTTTTTCTCCCGCTTGTGCCAGCCACTCTGCAACTGCCTGTTTTGCTCATTGTCACCACTTATACTACTAGTTTCTCGGCTTACTCTACCTGGTACCTCCGCTCGGTAAGCTCGCTGTCCTTCGCAGTTTTTAGGGCTTTCCAATTCCGCCACTCGCCGCTTTTGCTTTTCGAGTTCTTCCTTTAGTGCTCGAATTTCCTCATCTTTCCGTGTGCATTTATCCTGCAAAGAGGATATTGTACTGTTAAGAAACTTTTCGTTTTTGAGTAACCCTTTTACTCGGTGCTGAACGTCTGTATTTCCACAGTTAAGTTTCCTCACAATTTTGTTGAGAGTGCCCTCAGCCGTCAAGAGTTGTTCTAGCTTACTAGCTTTCTTCTTCCTTACTCCATCCAAGGTATTGCTCTACTACGCCCAATGCGGCAACGGAACAGCTGCGAGCCTCAATGGTTCTCTTGAACCGCTGCAGTCTTTTTAAAATACGCCCTATTTTCTGTTCTACTACGGACTCAATTTGGTCGCGTCTTTCGTCACCTAGGCGGAAATGTTTTGCAACTTCTGCATTAACATCCATCCTCAAATTAGTGACCTTTTCAATGAGTTTAACGCATACCTGTGCTTCAAACTCTGCCTCTGGAGTCGATATCTGTGAGCTACTTGCACTATCGTGGCTTCCAATACCAGCCATTTCCATGTGCTCGCTTGGTTCTACAATAACACATAAATTCTCTGTGCTCCCAAGCGTATTATCACAATCTTCTTGAGCTTCACCACCCATCTTGCAGGTGTAACGGCGCTCGAAGAAAAGTGTCTTGGCCTTCCACGTCCACTCGTGTTATAACACGGCAGGTGGCGGATCCTCTGATCCACGTCTGAGGCCAAGACACCACGGTATTAACGATAGCCAGGCTATCGGTACCGCTGCTATCTGACACCCTGATCGAGCCGTCAGATATCAACAATGCTGGCACCCGTCCAGGAGCCGCCAGCAGATAGCCAAAGTTTGAGTGAGCCTGACTTGGTTGTTTGCAGAAGGCTTGGCCCCCAAGTCAAAAATGTGTTCCCTGTCTGTTTCCTTCTGCTTAACCAAACTCAGACACACTGAAACTTTATTGGTAACAACACACAACAATGCAAATGAGAAATGGCAGGAGTTGTAGGAGCGGAGAGGTTGTAGGAGCGGGGAGTAAGGAGAAACAAATCTGGAAACTAAAGATTTAGTGGCCTTTAAATACCCTCTATCATCGCCACGTCAGTTAGGCGTGGCCTAACAAAATTCATCACTGTCTAACAGGTTGACAACCAGTGCAAACGCGTTGACCTGTAAACCGTCAACACTATTCGAGATTTTGCTGGTGTATTGCTCGAGCGCTTCCAGATACTTGATCATCTAAACTCGAAAAGTTGCTTCATATCCATATTACTGTACAAATGTCAAATGGCTGAAAGCAACGAATATGAGACGCTTGGCCCGACGCAGACCATGTTGAAGGCGCGTCCACCGGGCGAAGAGAAGACACAAGCGCAACCAACAGAGGTGAGAATGGCGCAATTCCAAGACTCAGCAGTGGGCCGATTTGACTCGACTCGAGGGCAAAGTTTTTGAGGGCACTGTTATTCGGTATCGTTATAATGGTTTCGATTTTGTTTTCTTGGCCACTACCAACTACGGCTTTCAAAACCACGACGAATATTCTTTCTGCTCTTCCTCTACAAGCAGGATAAATCCACACTCCAGGGCTTCTTTCCCTGCAGAAACCTTTCCTTCATAAAGCAAACATGCTTCACAGGTTAGGGCTTCCTCCCTCTGTGGGAAATTGGGTTACTGTTGCTGTAACGAAGAACTGCGTCACAATGCCCCGCCCCTCCCCTTCTCAATACGGCCGATGTCATAGTTTGCGAATCGAGCGATTCGCTCACGAATGCGCCAGCGTCCACTGTCAAGTGACACTGTTTGAGAGTGGCAGGCTTCCTTTAAACGTTGAGTCCCGCCACCGTTGAGCGCTGCTACCTAGTTCAGCTCGCTCGCGCATCGGTCGATTCGCTGGCGCAAAGTTCGATTCGCTCGTGCACGTGGCGCTACGCTCAGATCCAGCGAATCGCTCGATTCCCAAACTATGACATCGGCCCACACCAGCGCTTCAACCTGTTGAAGTCTGCAAATCTCTCTAATCAGTTGTAGTGCGCGACATCACCGCACATACTTATCGATCACCTCAGAAGTAGGGTTAATTATGGCGGCGCGGAGAATTCCTGAAAATCGCCCACCCTCTAAAGTCGATCGCGTTCGATCAATGCCATCGCTGAACATAGAACCAAATGGCACTTTTCCAAGCTTGCCCCCAAAACCCCGCGTTGAGCGGTGTGTGGGGCATATGGGTCAGCCCCGAAATGACAGAAAATTCGTCACTTTTTCTCAGCCTCACCTCCTCTCCAGTACCACATACAGACCTGGCAAGCATCCTCTGCCCAAGAACCAAAACCGACAACCCGTTCTAGCTTTGTCACAGATACATTTTGCGACTGTGAACATGTTTGTGTGACGAGGGTCTTCATCAGCCAACCAGTCAACCTGGGGGCAGGGTCTGGACAAAGTCCAACGCGACGACGAGAGTAATGGGCGACGGACTTTTGGTGCGTCCGGGGTTGCACGCGGCGATCGCGCGGCGGGTTGCGCGGCGATTCGGACGAGGGAAGTCTTCGCGGGCTCTTGTAGTGGAATTCAATACGTTAGAACTTGTGCGGATCGTGGATAGAATTCACGAGTTTCTGCTTTGAATAAAACTTCCCACTCGTGGAGATCGGAGAAATGCAGCGGTGTCAGTGAGAAGATTACAGCGAAAGGAGATGAAAGAGAGAAACTTCATAGAAATGCCACTACTATTATATTATAAATATGAATAAGAAGCACTAAAAATGGAGTCATTTAGTGAGATGTTATTTATTGTCAACTCTACAACTTTGTTAATCGCGGCACTCCTGTTCTTGGGGAAAATTTTCAAAACAGGGCCAATGGAAGGTGACACTAGAACTAAGCTCATGAGATAGGAAATACGCTCGGGAAAACAGAAATTGCTCACATTCTCCACGAAAAACTCTCCCCCTCAGGCTTAGTCCCAAATATAACAATTAGGTGAATCTCTCCGCTTATGGGGTTTCGTCCCCTCCCCCTCCCCCACCCACCCCTTAACAACAAGCGCCAGCAACCTAAGCGCCTTGATTGCTATAACATCCTTTTGCTAATCCTTTTCTTCTCTTCCTGCCGCTGCCTTTGGATGTACACGCGTTGGAATGTAACTCGAATCGCAGAACCTTGTGGATTCTATCCTCGATCTGCACACGTTCTGACGTGTTGAATTCCACCGCAGAAGACCGCGAAGACTTGCCTCGTATGGATCGCCGCGCAGCCCGCCGCGCGAATCGCCGCGTGCAACCCTGGACGCACCAAAAGTCCCGCACCCCCGAGAGTAATGCCGAGAGTGAACGTACGCACGGAGACACAGACGGCTCGCGGGTGGCGAGAGTGAATGCCGGCGCGGATAGCGGCCAACATCGGTCCAACGTAACGGCTTACCCTGCCTGGGGGTGATGCTGGTACTAGAACCATTTTTGCAATTTCTGCAGGGCATGTCCAACCTTGGTGGAGATCGAACTCGCGGCTTCTAGAGGTGCAGACATGACACTCCTCTCTTGACCACATGGCTATCCCTGTCTTAACCCAAGGGGAAATTCCACTTCTTAAAAATGCAACGCCAATCTCGCCAAAATACAACCTCCTCCGCTGCTCATGGCATTGGGAGGGACATCCAATACAGAACCGATGGTAGATGACAATGGGCCCAGGAGAGGGAAGAAACGCCAGGGAAGACAAGAAAATTCTACACCCTACCCCAGAATCCTTTTCCCTCACTAAAGCTTAGTCTCAGGTACTATAAGTGGCACTCACTTGAATTTCTCCTTCCTAAAGGCGCTTGCATAATTGAATCTTTTCTGCTGTGACGTTCAAACTATAAACAGGATGAAGCATTAGCCGTTGATCGATCCCTTTTGGCATGCGGCACGCGTTTTACTTCCATTTGTACATTTGTAATGGCGTTTGAATGCGGTGTGGCCTGTACAATGACTTTCGGGGACCAGGCGATGTTAAGTCAGTGTTTTTATCCTCTTGGTACCAATTAACCGACCCAGGAAGGATAGAGGACTTGGGGCCCGGGCTACGCACGACCCAGGAATTGATCCCCGGATCGCTCGCGTGGTAAGCGTGCCACTTTCCACTACACCACTTTCACCCCTCTTGGGACGTTAGTTGTCTGAAGCGACCTAATTTCATCACAAAAAATTGCAGGACAAAGACAAAGTGATGATGATGACCGCACTGGACGATAATGCTGCTCAGCCAAATGTGAATGCCACTCAAGTGGTAGAACCACCACCGCCTCCCGATTGGACGTATTCGAAGGACAAAGAGAAAGAGCATAAAGGAAAGGATAAGAAGAATACAGGCGTTATTGCCTGGATTATGGACGATGTCAGCTTTTCTCACAGAACACTATCTCGCCTTAGCCCACTCGATTTGAGAGGGTGCATAAAAATGTGAATTAATTTTTCGCGCATGTGATCGACATCGCTGGTAGTTTGATATGCTTTCACAAATGGAGCGGTAGAAAATGCTGAAGCAGCGTGGAACAAGCCAAAGTCACTCGTTAATGCTCGAATATTCCAGCTCGCTACGGCTTTCGAGGACGGTCAAGAAAAAGAAGAAAAGAAGAAAGAGAAAGTATGAATGGAACACGCATCTCTCACCCAACAGTCATCACTAGAATGAGAATGACTCAATAGGTCTGGGTTACGGGAGTGGTGTGAGTAAGGGAGGAAGTGATGCAGCTGCTCGCAGTGATGCGGCTATGGCTGCATCACGCGCGCGACATGTGTACGACAGACCACACCAAAGATGACATTGGGCCGCCGTTGCAAGATTTTCTTCTCACCGCGTCGTATTTGGATTGAAGAGAAAGGATAGAAGCGCGTTGACTGTGTAACTAATGTAAGAGGGTGCAGAGAAGCATGAGCAGCAGCATAAACAACGCAGTTGGTCACTGAGAGAAGAGGGGGTTATACAGAGCTCGAGAGACAGAAGAGACAGAAGGGAGCAGGACTTCCTATGATGAGCATGTGACACCTCCTCTTACATACTCAAGGGGCACAAATGCACAACAGCATTTAGCAGTTAGGTACTGTACTAATGTGAATGTAATTCAAAGGCGATGCGTGGACGGAAGAGGGCCTTACTTTGGAATGGTCGTCGGTGAAAGTTCATTGGGAGACGGTCTAGCCACACTAGTAAGTTCAGAGGGGTGTGGTCAGTCCGTCACCCAGCTGTCAACTTTCACCGATGCCAATACGACAATATAGTCCGCCTTCCAGCCATCGCATATATTGCCCTGACCAGGAAGGTCTTTCAGCGGGTGCCAAACTTTTTCAGAACGGTCTTTTGCATGATTGCGAGAAGCACAGAACCATGGTTAATTTATCCTAAGCGGTCCTTTCAATACCAATAAAGGATATCCCCGGTTCGGTTCCTCGTGGTGACAAACTTTTGCATTTCGAGTTGACGTGGTGACTGACGTTCCTAGTTGTAACTATGATATTCATAGTTTGCCAATTCCATTTTGCGCGAATTTCGCACCGCAAGGGATTGAACCGAGGACTCCCTTTTTTGGTATTCAAAGTTCCGCTTAGGATGAATTAACCATGATTCTGTGGTTCCTACATGTGCCC